TTCTACATGTTCTCCCAAATCATCTCTCTAATTACCTAGTACAAAATTTTCTCCAAGACTCTCATTAAGATTTACAGCCTGCAGTGTTTTAAATATACTTTCTTTTGTGAAAATTGGGTCAATATTTGCAAGTCTCTAGGAACCTTACCAATTCTTCACAGACAAGCAGAAATATTTCTGTGATCACATTTGCAAGGTCTTTTGGTTCTCTCGAATGTAATTTCCCTGGGCCTGTTGACTTGGACTCATTTGAAGTATCTAGATTTGTTCTTAATCTTCCTTTGTTTTTATTTTCCTCTTAATCATTTTATTTTAGATTTTTATATTTGGAAGTTCATTTTCCTCAATAAAGAAGGAAAGTGGGAAAAATTTGGAGTCGAATAATTTTGCTTTCTCTTTTGCATCCATTGACAATAGCCACCCTATCATCTGTCACCTTTCAGACACTGTTTATTGCACAGCTCAATTGCTCCCTATTCCACATGTCCTGAAGATACCATCCCCAGTTAGATATAAACATACCACCTTTACACAGTCCTGGGCCACAGACCTTAAGGTTTATAGATTTAACATTCACATGTTTTTTGTTTTTGTTTTTGCCTTTCAGATTATTTATCTCCTGATCATCAAAGATTTTAATTTTTTATTTACCCAAAGGGGTCAGGAGTTAATCTGTGTATTGGAAGATGTGACTGTATCTGGCGAGGGTGGAAGGGTACAAAATATTGTGCAAATGAGGGATATTTACTGCCTTCCTGACTGTAGACTGAAGGAGGCAAGGACTTTGACATTTTCTCCAGTGCCTAGCTGTATTTCTAATGCCTGTCACATAGTACATGTTCAATAGGTATTGATTGAACTAATTAAAATTGTTCTTCTCTACTGTCAAACTATAACAACCAAAAAGGGCATATTCTTGCTGGATGAGAGCATCAAGGAGACAAGAAGGGAGCTGAAGATATGTCTCTCAAGTCATCCTCTCTCCCTTCTTTCCTTCCTTCCTTTTTTAACCTTATTGCACTGGCTGGGGCCTCCAGTAAGAAGCTGAGTAAGACTGGTGAGATCAGACAACCTTACCTTCTTCCCAATATTAGACAATGGTCTTTGACCACTAAGTATGATGTTAAGTGTAGGGTTTTTGTAGATGCTTGCTGTCAGATTGAGGACATTAACTTCTGTTTTTTAGTTTGCTGAGAGTTTTTATTAATGAATAAATATTCAATTTTGTCAAATGATTGTCTTAAATCTACCATGTTGCTATTTTTGTCTCTTTGTCCATCTGTTCTTTGTTCCCTTTTCCTTCTTTCCTTTGGATTAATATTTTTTATGATTCAATTTTTTTCTTTGGCTGGCTTATTATACCTCTTGGTTTTTTACTTTTATTTTTTAGTGGTTGCTTTATGGTTTAGAGTATACATCTTTAACATCAAAGTCTACCTTCAAGTAATATGTTTCATTTCAAATATGTTATAAAAAGCTTTTGATAATATACTTCCAGTTCCTCTCTTAGGGTCTTTATACCATGGTTGTTACACATTTTACTTCTGCATATATTGTCAACCCCATTTGTTGTTGTTATTTTTGCTTTACATTGTGTTATCTTTCAAAGAGATTGTAAAAATAAGGAAAAATATTTATATTTACATATATATCTGTATGTGCCATTTTCAGTGCTCTTTATTCTTTTGTGTAGAACCAGGTTTCTGTCAGGTATCTTGAAGAACTTTTTTAAACATTTCTTGTGCACACCTTTCTGCTGGTGATGAATTCTATCAGCTTTTTAATGTTTAAAAAATATATTTTGCTTTCTGCCTCCACTGCCGCCATGGCTCCCGTGAAAAAGCTTGTGGCAAAGGGGGGCAAAAAAAAGAAGCAGGTTCTGAAGTTCACTCTTGATTGCACCCACCCTGTAGAAGATGGAATCATGGATGCTGCCAATTTTGAGCAGTTTTTGCAAGAAAGGATCAAAGTGAACGGAAAAGCCGGGAACCTTGGTGGAGGGGTGGTGACCATCGAAAGGAGCAAGAGCAAGATCACCGTGACGTCTGAGGTGCCCTTCTCCAAAAGGTATTTGAAATATCTCACCAAAAAATATTTGAAGAAGAATAATCTACGTGATTGATTGCGCGTAGTTGCTAACAGCAAAGAGAGTTACGAATAACGTTACTTCCAGATTAACCAGGATGAAGAAGAGGAGGAAGACGAAGATTAAATTTCATTTATCTGGAATATTTTGTATGTGTTCTTGAATAAAACTTGGGAACCAAAATGGTGGTTTATCCTTGTATCTCTGCAGCGTGGATTTAACAGAAAATGGAAATCATAGTCAAAGGGCTTCCCTTGGTTCCCCACTCACTTATTTGTAACTTCTTTTTTTTTTTCTGCTTGAAGATTTAAATTCTCAAGATAATACCAGAGTAGGAGGGGGTGACTTGACTGAACTGACAGCCTTGGGGAGGCAGATGAGGGTGTGGAGGTGTGGGCTGAAGGGAGTGGCCGTTATTTTAAAAAGTGTGACAGTTGTATCTGTTGCTGTTGGCAAACAATGATTCAGGATAGGAGTGGGCTCCTCTCATTCATTAACAGAAAATGTGACATCTTTCTAAGATTCTCTGTGGGAAAAAGTGTCAATAAAATACGGGTTTTTGGGTCAAAAAATATATATATATATATTTTGTCTTTATTTAAAAAAAACTTTCTCTGGGTATAGAATTCTAGGTTGCATTTTCTATTGTTTTCAAATACTTTCAAGATGTCCTACTGTCTTCTGGCTTACATTGTTTCTCACAAGAAGTCTTCTGTCATTCTTATCTTTGTTTCTTGGTACTTTGTGTGTCTTTTTTCTCTCTGTTTTAAAATTTTATTCATTTATTTATTTTAATTTATTTTACTATAATGTGCATTAGTATAGTTTTCTTCATTTTTCTTGGATCTATGATTTTTATCATTTTTCTCAAATTTGGAAAAACTTTGGCTATTACATTTTCAAATTATTTTTCTCTCATGGAGTCTAGTTACATGTATTTCACATTGTTTTCATTTGGCCCATGACTTACTGATCTTTGCTCATTTATTTTCAACTTATTTTTCTTTGTGTGTTTCATTTCGGATAGTTTCTATTGCTGTGTCCTTAGGTTTACTGATCTACTACATTGTCTTATCTACATTTAAAAATGCTATTGCATTTTTAAATTTCAGGTATTTCTTAAAAAAAAACTATTAATTTAATATTTAAAAATATCTTTTATGTCTGTTCTTCTAATGTGCTTATATTTTCTTCTACCTTCTTGAATACATGGAACACATCATAATAACTGTTTTTAATATCCTTGTTTATTGATTTCATCATCTCTGTCATATCAGGGTCTATTTCTATTTATTGGTTTTTCTTATTGCAGATCATATTATTCTGCTTTTTTGCATGCATGGCAATTTTTTTTTTTTTTCGAGACCGAGTTTCGCTCTTGTTACCCAGGCTGGAGTGCAATGGCGCGATCTCAGCTCACTGCGCGATCTCAGCTCACCGCAACCTCTACCTCCTGGGTTCAGGCAATTCTCCTGCCTCAGCCTCCTGAGTAGCTGGGATTACAGGCACACACCACCATGCCCAGCTAATTTTTTGTGTGTTTTTAGTAGAGATGGGGGTTTTCACATGTTGACCAGGATGGTCTCGATCTCTTGACCTCGTGAACCACCTGCCTCGGCCTCCCAAAGTGCTGGGATTACAGGCTTGAGCCACCAGGCGATTATTTTTTATTGCTATTAATTTTAAAGAATTTTTGTTTTGTTTTGTTTTGTTTTTGTTTTTTTGAGATGGAGTCTCACTCTCACCCAGGCTGGAGTGTAGTGGCATGATCTTGGCTCACTGCAGCCTCTGCCTCTCTGGTTTAAATGATTCTCCTGCCTCAGCCTCCCAAGTAGCTGGGACTACAGCTGTGTGCCACCACGCCCAGCTAATTTTTGTAATTTTTAAATAGAGATGGGGTTTCACCATATTGGCCAGGCTGGTCTTGAATTCCTGACCTTGTGATTTGCCCACCTTGGCCTCCCAGAGTGCTGGGATTACAGGCGTGACTCACCATGCCCAGCCTGTTGCATCATTCTTTACCAAATTTTAAGAATGTGCAGAACAAGGAATATAAAAATGCCCTAGAAATTTTTTTAGTGTTCTACTCTTATAATCTATATTTTCCAGGCATATGGGGCATATTCTTTCATATTTCTGTTTTTTCTAATTATTTATAGGTTGATTTTTTGGGGGGGATGTGTAAAGTATCAAAAGCATGTTTAGTGTATTCACATCTGCTAATATTTTAATTATTTGATTTTTAAATTTCAACTAAAAATAATATAGTTGGTGTTGATGTTTAAATTCCATGTAAATGTTTTGCTGTAATGTTATCACATATTCTAATGGTTTTTATCAAGTAAAAAAATTCCCATAATTATGTTCATATATTTTTTTGTATGATACTCTGAAAGCTATAAATTGCCTTGGTAAAAATTAAACATGTATATTAAAAGTTGAGTCTCATTTTTATTTACTCTGTAGTCTGTAGTTACAGTGTTACTTTTTTAAAATTCAGATTTTAGTTTTCAGTACTTAACACTATCATTGACAGACATGTACAATTCTTCATATACAGTAAGAATATCTTACGAACACTTTTTTTAAATATTCTTTTACATTCTCATTCTTTATATTTTCCGTCTCTAGGGAGTTTGCAACATAGAAAAAATACAGACTCTTTTTTTAGTAAAATAAAATAACCTGATCTAATGGGGGTTCTTTGGTTTGTTTTCAATTTCTGTAGTATTGTGTGCAATATTCTTAATAATTTCCTATTTGTATGTGTTTGGAAAGTTAATTACCACTACTACATCGCTATCTTTTCTAGCTGGTATGTTTAAATTTGGATAGGTGAGTGGGGGTTTTTGTGGTAATGGGAAATAACCCGGTAGTGATGAAAAATTTAATACCTCTCCCCTCTCTTTTATAGTATCAAAGGTGCAGAATCTGGGATAAGTTACATGAAGAGCATATCAATGCAGGACGTACAGTTCAGGTAAGGCTGTTATATTTTTTCTGCTAAATCAGTATGAAAAAGACAGTCTTTAGACAGTTTTGCTAAAATATTTCCTTTGCAGATGAATCCTTTTATACACATTATTTTTAGCAGAACTTGCTGAATCACATGTTATACATATTTTTAAGGTTTTGTTTTATTACCAAATTTTCCTCCAGAAATGACACGTTGACTTCTATACTCTCACAAGCAATGGATTTTCTAAAAACCTTTTAAATGCATTGCTTGTGAGTGTATATCATTGGTATTACCCATTTCTTAAATTTTTGATAATTGATAGGTTAAAATAATGCCACTTTGTTGTTTTAATCTGAATTTGTAAAAGCTCTGAAGGATGAATTTTTTTCACATGTCCTGGACAGTAATTTTTTTGTTGTTAATTGCCTGTTAATATATTTGTATATATTATATTATGTTGATGTCTTTTGTGAGAGCTCCTTGTAAGTTGAAAGATATTGATCTTCTGTCAATAATTAGTATTGCAGATATTCTTCACTAGTCATTTTCTAGGCTGGAGTGTGGTGGGGCTATCTTGGCTCACTGTAACCTCTGCCTCCTGGGTTCCAGCAATTCTCCTGCCTCAGCCTCCCAAGTAGCTGGGATTACAGGCACATGCCACCACGCCCAGCTAATTTTTATATTTTTGGTAGAGACAGGGTTTCACCATGTTGGTCAGGATGGTCTCCAATTCCTGACCTGGTGATCCACCCACCTCGGCCTCTCAAAGTGCTGGGATTACAGATATGAGCTACTGTACCCCACTGTTATTTGCTTTTTAAAAGTAAATTTTAATTATTTTAACATAATTTTTAAAAATAATATGTTTACATGGTTTTAAAAGCCAAATACAAATACAAGTTTTATAATATCCCATATTCTCCACTTGCAAGTCCTCCTACTTGGAACAAACCACTATTAATCCTTTTGACCATTCCCCCTGCAATTTACCACTTTATTACTAAATCACATGTGTAGACTGATATTTCTTGATTAATCAGGTTTAGATTTTTTTTTTTTTTGAGACAGAGTCTCACTCTGTTGCCAGGCTGGAGTGCCATGGCACCATCTCTGCCCACTGCAACTTCCACCTCCTGGGTTCAAGCAATTCTCCTGCCTCAGCCACCTGTGTAGCTGGGACTACAGGCGTGCTCCACCACGCCCAGATATTTTTTAGTAGAGACAGGATTTTACCATATTGGCCAGCATGGTCTCGATCTCTTGACCTTGTGATCCACCCGCCTTGGCCTTCCAAAGTGCTGGGATTACAGGCTTGAGCCATTGCGCCCAGTCTTCTACTTCTTTTCTTTTCTTTTTTTAGGGGGATGGGGGGTTGGAGTTTTGTTCTTGTTGCCCAGGCTGGAGCGCAATGGCACAATGTCGGCTCACAGCAACCCCCACTTCCCAGGTTCAAGCGATTATCCTGCCTCAGCCTCCCGAGTAGCTGGGATTATAGGTACATGCCACCACGTCCAGCTAATTTTGTATTTTCAGTAGAGATGGGGTTTCTCCACGTTGGTCCGGCTGGTCTCAAACTCCCAACCTCAGGTGATCTGCCCCCCTCGGTCTCCCAAAGTGCTGGGATTACAGGCGTGAGCCACCGCACCCGGCCTATTTATTTATTTATTTATTTAATTTCTTATTTTAGATGGAACTCTGGCTTCCCAGCTTGCTCTCCTACTCCCCTTCCCCTGTATAATTACATATATTACAATTTATGGTTAAGTTAATGTAATATAAACTCATACTGATTATGAAGATATTGTTTTCTGCTAAGTCAAACAGTGAAATATAGTACTGCCTTTTACTTTTTAAAAAGTTAGGCAGGGTGCGGTGGCTCACGCCTATAATCCCAGCACTTTGGGAGGCCAAGGCAGGTGGATCACGAGGTCAAGAGATCGAGACCATCCTGGTCAACACGGTGAAAACCCATCTCTACTAAAAATACAAAAAATTAGCTGGGCATGGTGGCGTGTGCCTGTAATCCCAGCTACTCAGGAGGCTGAGGCAGGAGAATTGCCTGAACCCAGGAGGTGGAGGTTGCAGTGAGCCGAGATTGCGCCATTGCACTCCAGCCTGGGTAACAAGAGCAAAACTCCGTCTTAAAAATAAATAAATAAATAAATAAAATAAAAAGTTAGTAATTGCCTCATTTTTTAGTAGCCTGGTGTTCTCTGTATCTGTGGTTAATTTTCTCTAAATGCTCTGCATCTCTGTCACATACTATCAATAATATTTCTTATATGCTCAAATGTATCAGTTCGATTCTTTAAAGATATTCTTCTAAACTCTTCTTCCCCTAGTTCCTATGTGGACTTCCTAGGCTTGTTGTACAACTCCTGTTCTGGGACTTTCCTTTGCTGCTTTTCTATGTTAAGTCTCTATTTTCCTAGGCATTATGTCTTCCTCATTTTTGGTTTATTCTATTTTTTTTTATTGGAGTAATCTTGCAGTAGCCCTCTAATTAAGGGTATCTTGGAGATAAATATAAGTAATTATATTTCTTAAAAATGCCTTTATTCTCCCCTGACATGTGATTGCTAATTTTGCTAGGTATAGAATTCTAGTTGGAATTCTCTTTCAATATTGAAGCCTTTCTATCTTTTTTGGGTTCTACTTTAAAAGAAGCTAGTATGATATGATTTTCCAGTCTATGTACAGGACCTGCTTTTGTTTTGTTTTGTTTTTTTCCTGTTTGGGAGGTTTTGAAATTAGTTCATCTCAGGTATTCTGAAATTTGATGATGATGTCACTGTGTTAGACTCTTTCTACAAACTCATGTTCTTTAGTTCTGGGTAATTTTCTTAGATTTTTCTTTGGTCATTTATTCTTCTGTGTTTAATCTCTGCTAATTTTTTTTTTTTTCTTTTTCTAAGGGTCAGCAAACTTTGGCTCAGAGGCTATGTCGGCCTTGTGTCCATTCCATTTGCTTACACATTTCTTTGGCTGCTTTCACACTGTAACAGCAGAGTTAAGTAGTTGCAGCAGAGACTGTATGGCCTACAAAGCCTGAGCTGTTTACTTATGGGGACTTTGCAGAAAAAAATTGCCTGTTCTATGGGATGTTGGAACTCTTGGGTTACTTGTCCGATTTTTGCTCTATTTTCTAAAAGATTCCCTCAGCTTTATCTTTAATGTTTTTCTTTGAATTCTTTTTTTCTGCTATTATGTTATTTAGTTTACAAGAGCTTTTTCTTATTCTCTTTTCCTTTCTTTATAGCATTTTGTCCATGGGTGTAATCGGTTTTTTTGTTTGTTTGTTTTTCTGAGATATTAAAAAGTGGATTGCTTATCTTCTGATGGACTTAAGGATGTTTGGGCAAGCTGGTATTTTCCTTAGGGATAAGTCTAAATATCAGTATCTGGAGATTGTTCTTATTTGGTTTTCTGAAGAAGAATCCTCATTTTCCCCCTGGGGCAGGTAAGCGCTTGTCTTACAGAGTTATAGAGGCAGATTAGATAAAGGCTTCTGGGCTTTCATTGTTCAGTACAGGCTTTCCACAGATCTCTGTTTTTTAGCCCTGTGCCTGCTGGTGTTTCTGAATCTAGAGTCAGTTGCTTCAAAGAATACACCTGTGGTCCTCTTGAATTTCAGAAATGTTATTATAGCTGCAGTATAGTGATTAAATTGGGATAGAATGAAATGAATTCAAGAGATCATTAGGAAGGGTTACAGAGGTCAAGAAATAGATGTTAGTAGCTTAGTGATAGTGGAGATGGAGGAAACAGATTGATTTGAAATTTAGGTGGAAATTTGACTTATCTCTCTGTATTTACTGCTTGCTAACTAGATTATAGACCTAATGAGCAGAGACTATGTCTCTACTATTTGTATATTCTGCAGCATCTGGTACCCAGCAAGATATGGTGATCATTGAATGGTACTGAGCATGTTAATGATTTAATGAGATTATTATGACTTAGATTTCTTACCATCTTCACTGTTTAATCTATCATTTATAAATCACATGATTTGCTTGAGACATTGGTTATGGTCAAAGTATTTGTTTACTGATTTTTTAAAATATGCATATATATTTACCATATTGACCTCCATCTGGCATAAAATATTTATGGGTGCTATTGAAGTAGTGAAATTGAAGCTATTATTAGATGTAGATATTTGCTTAGTTTTTTTCATGCCTGCTCCGAATTTTGGATATAGATTTCTTTGCTACTTAGTGTAAAAGTTATTTTGGGACAAATAATTTCATCAACAATTATCACAGATTTTCTAGATTTATCATCATTAGATTTACATAGTAAAAGCTATATTGTCACATTCATTATGGTATCTTGATAAAAAGAGGTTCTTAATTTAAATGTAGTTTAAGTTACCAGTCTTTTATGGTTCCTACTTTGGTGTCTTGTTCAAGAATTCCTCTCGTGGAGGAGTCAAGAATATATTTTTTTATATATTCAATTGAGTGATTTAAATATTTAGCTTTTAGCATTCAAGTTTTTAATCCATCTAGAATTGGTGGTATCAGGTAGACATAAATAAAATTTTATTCCATTTTGAAAATCACTTGTATGTCACTATTGCCTGATTTCTATGGTGCTACTTCTGAAGCATATTGTAATTCCATATGTCTCTGATCTTTATATTCTATTCCATTGGTCAGTCTATTTCTGCACCAAATTCCAAATTATCTTAATTATGACAGTTTTAAGATAAGGCTTGATATCTGATTGTGCAATAGTTCCACAGCATGCTTCCTTTTCAGGAGTATTTTGGCTATACTTGACTCTTTAGTCCTTCACATGAAATTCAGAATCAGCTTTTCAAAGCCCATACACAGTCTTTTTGGGAAGTTGAGAACTGCATTGGATTTATAGAAGAAATTGACATCTTCACAACATCTAGTTTTCCTACCTGTGAATATGGAATATTCTTGCATTTGTATTCGTCTTCTTTAGTATTTGGGAGACTTTACAGTTTTTTTACATATGGGTTATGGCAATTATACTTTCTAAAGATA